TCAATTTGCTAATTTTTTCAGGAGGGCTTTTGAATTTTTATGAATTATATTGTTTACTTTTCTTATAATATTTTTGCCTAGTTTGTAGATTTTTGCAATACTGTTTTCCTAGATTTGATTTAAAAAATATTCCTCCTTCTTGTATTCCCTGGAAGCAATTGTAGATAATTGCTGTATTTTTTTCATAAAAGCCTGATAGAAAGCAATCTGCAATCTTTCTGGGCCTGGAGTTTACTCTTTTGATATGCTGATAATTATTAATTCAATTTTAATAAATATAGGCTTGTTCATATAGCTGTTTCTTCTTGCATGAGTTTTGGCAGATCCTGTCTTTAAAGGGATTAAATTATTTCATCTAGGTTACCAAATTTGTAAACAGGTTCTTTGTTCTTTCTCTCCCTCTATTTTTTCAATACTGGGGATCTTTTCTATTTTTTATTTTGAAACATGCTCTCACTAAGTCGCTAGGTTGCCTAGGCTTGGCTGGAACTTGAAGTTCTCCTGCCTCAGCCTCCCAGAGTGCTGGTATGACATAAGCCACTATACCTGACATGCTTGTTATCCTTTTAATGTTCACAGGATGTGTTTTGTTTCTGATATTAATAAATTGTCAGTTCTTTTTTATTTTTCTTACGCTGGCTAGAGTTTATTGATTTTTTTAATAATCTAAGTTTTTAAAGGAAATTTGAAAAACAAAAGCAAATCAAATTCAAAGTAAGCAAATCAAAAATAAGTTTCTTTAGAGAAATTTAGATTATGAATTTTCAAGTGTCCTTCTTTTCTGTATTTGTTCAGTAATACAAACTTTCCTATTAAAATTGTTTACTTTCTCCCACAAATTTTGATAGTGTTTTATTTAAAATATTTATCTTGAGATTTTTTTTCCCCTCTTGATTCAAGTATTACTTAGAGGTTTGTTATTTAGGCTCCACAAACATTGAGATTTTCCCATTTAGTTTTCTGTTACTGATTTTTAGTTTAATTCCATTGTAATCTTGGGGAAAATACTGTATCATATATATTCCTTTAAATGTGATACAGTATGCTTGATGGCCCAGAATATAACTATCTTGATGAATATTACAGGTGAGTTTTGAAACAATGTGATTTTTATTATTGTTGGACAAAATTGTTGAGAGACAATCACTGTACATAATGTTTTTAAATTCAATTATTTCTTGCTGATTTTCTGTGTGCTCAGTCTGTTTGCTTTTCATAGGCTTTAGTAGTGGGGTTCTCTATCCTTGAAGTTCTACTAGTTTTGCCTCGTTCATTTTGACACTGTTTTTGATTGCATACATGTTAAGGACTGTCATGGGTTTATGGGGAATTAACCCATCTATAAATATGCAAGGACTTTTTTATTTTTTTATTTTTGGTACTGGGGATCAAACTCAGGACCTTGTGCTCGTGAGGCAGATGCCAGAACAACTGAGCTAAATCCCCAGCCCCAAGGACTTTTTTATTGTAGTAACATTACTTTCTTTGATGTGTGCTTGGTCTGAACTTAACATAGTTTCTGCTGATTTCATTTGTTTATTTTTAGAATTGTATATTTTGGCTACATACATTATCTTTTATTCTATATGTGTTTCTGTAATTAAAATGTGTTTCTTTTATGCACTGCATAGTTGAGTCTTGTGTTTGTATGTACTTTGACAACTCTTTTTTTTAGTTGGTGCATTTATTGATGATGAAAATGATTATTGATATTGTTAGATTCATTGCTACTAATTTAGTTATTGTCTGTAATCCACTGTCCTTGTTTTTTGTTCCTATTTTTGTCTTCTAAACTTTTTTATTGCCGACAATTCTAGTTGAGAATTTTATGATTCCATTCTTTCTCCTTTATTATTATTAACTTTATTCTTCTTTATTTATATTTTACAGTTGTTTGCTGTTATTTTATTTTATTTTTTGAGGCAAAGTCTTGCTATATTGCCAAGGATGATCTTCAACTCAGTATCATGCATCTCTCCCACCCCAGTCTCACTTGTTGCTGGGACTACCAGCATGCGCTACTATGTTCAGTAGTGCATTATTTATTTTTAAAAATTGATTTTCCTTGGAGTTTTAATTGTACCTTTGCAACTAATCCTACTCAACTTTCAAGTAATATAATTCTTCATAGTAGTGTGATTATCTTATACAAACAAAACAATCCCAAATTTTCCCTGTCTCTTGCAATTTTGCTGTCATTCTTTTCACTTAAAGATAAATCTATAAAAGGAATGCATGTTGCTATTAATTTTAAATTACATATAGATTATAAATATACAAATATATATAAACATATATACATATAGTGAAAAAACTTCAAGTAACATTAGAAATCATTCATGTTATCGATCCCAGTTTACAAATGGAAAGAAAATGAAGGTGAACATTTAACTACAAAAGTACATACCTAATTATTTTCAAGAAATTATATTTTCTGGTTTCTATTCCAGAGCCTTTTTGATCAAATATCACTGATTATTCTTTCAGGGAACAACAAGAAAATTAAGGGTGCCAAATACAGGCTTTAAATTTTAAAAAAAGAAATAACAAACATAAAAGAAAACAAAAATCTGTCATTAACGTACATAAAAACATTTGATTATTTAAAGTAGGTAGCCTACCATATGACAGATTCTTAATAGAAGTTTAATCACAGTAAGTACTGCAACAATAAGAATGAGTAAAAATAAATCAATGTACCACTGACTGATCTGTCTACCTTAATATTACAATTAAAGGAAGCATTCTCCAAGAAAGAACTGTGAAAAGCTGGGAAAACATTAAAATGCTTGAAAGACAGCCTTGTGATAAATAGTTATTAAAATATTTTATCTAACGTATCATTATAATTTTTAATTATATATTTTTGATTTGAAAATAAACAAATAGAATTACAACTATTTATAACACTATATATTTTTTTCCTGTTTGTCCCAATACTTCTCTCATGGCAGTCTATAGATTCAACATTGCTGATCCTATACTATCGCTTTTCATGTCAAAACCAGTTGGAGTAAGGTATAGAGTTTAATACAGCACAGTTGGCAACAGAAAATCAATATTGCCAGGCAAATTAAGCAACTGACTGCTCTGAAATGAGATAGAACCTAGAAAACTGAATCCATAGACAAAGCACAACAAAGGGATGGAGAAGTGATTGAGCTGCAGTAGGGAGGACATAGCCCCCTCAGACTTTCAAATGTGGAAAGAAAGAAATGCTGAGACATACAGGCCGTGCAATACAGACACATTCTAATGGCTGTCTTTTTGTACCTAAGTTATATTTCTCTCAAAACTTCATCATCAAATCTTTCAAAATCAGAACATAGTTGAACACTGATTTAAGCTACACAAAGATCTAGCCTTAACATTTTACAATAATTGGTTTTCTCACATGTACCTATCTATATTTGCCCGTGTCCTTCCACTAATCAATTTCATTTTGAAAGTATCTCAGTGTAACTTGTAGATATCAGGACATTTCCCCATAAATATTGCTGGCTACTTCTTTAAAGATCAGATTATCTTTCCTATGGTTAGATCTATTCTGACTTAAAGTTACTTGTCTATTTGCGATTCTGACATTTCATGCAAATATAGGTAAAGTTCCCTGCTGTAAGATATAATACTTTTTTGAAGAATTTCATGAACACTTTTTAGTGTTAAATTTTAGTTAGGTGTCTTAGCAACACCGCAAAATATACACGGTGCTAAAAATTCAGTAATAATTATTTTATTAATATCACATATGTGAAAAGCATACTAACACTATTTATGAATCCACTGAATTTTCTAAATAGTTTTATATCAATTCACTTATAGCAAAAAAATTTGTGTGTATGAAATTTGACAGAAATCTTCAAATTTTTTGAGAAGTCCCTGAGAAAATATTATATAGTTACACAGTTATTATATAGGTACTATACACACACACACACACACACACACACACACACATATATATGATATAGTTATGTATTATGTAGTTAAGTAGTAGTTGGAGAATCTAAGCATTTGAACAAGAACCTAAATTCTGTAGCACAGGAACAGGAAATAATTAACTTCATGCAAAGCATACAGGACACATTGTGCATAACACGGCCTGACTAAAGGATATCTAGAATTAATGCTTCAAAGTTAAAACAGCCAGATAATCCTTAGGAAAAGCAAAGTTTCTAAATATTTACAAGCTTTTCTTACAGTAGTATGCACCTTTAGTTCTGAATATTACTTACTGGATTATAGTTACAATCTTCTTTATTAGACTGTATGTTTTACCACAATGAGGGAAAAAACGGAACATGTTATTATTGGTCATTTGTTTTTAATAGTTGTTATGCTAATTTCCACCTACATGAAAATGGTTATTTTGTTTATATGTATATTTCAAATAAATTGTCCATTATTCAAAGAGGTCAGGTAGCATGCTCAAAGTTGTGCATATAATAAGATATAAATTGGAATTTGAATAGATTTCTTTTCTAATTCCACAATTCTAAAGCTTGTACCATGTCTTGATGTTTCCCTAGAATCTCCTGTCCAAAAACTGTATTTTGTTTTTCTTTTTTGTTGTTTTAATCTTTCTTTGGACATAGACCCCATTCTCATCACAAAATAAGAATTTAGTAATATTTTTTATAAAAATCAGAAACTTTTCTTTGACATGTCATGGTTTTATTTACTATATTCATGTGTTCTGTATCTTATTGACACTTTCTTACAGTGAGCATCTTGAACAAAACCTCTATAATCTTACAATCTTACCTGAAATACTCAAAGGAAAATAAAGCACGTTATCAATCATTGCATATTATAATCATACAATTATAATGGAATAATCACCAGGAACATTCTATTCATACATAAATGAGTACTTGAAGAAGACTAAATGCATCCCAAGGAATAGAAAAAATAAGAATTAGGTACACAAACTGTTATATCATAAAGAAATTAACCCTCATAAAGAAATATACTAAGAAGAAAAGATTTGTAGCACTTACTTTGAGATGTTAGAGCAAAATCATATTCTAGTTAAGTTGTGGTGGGTTAGGATGTAATCTGTGAAGGCTGAGATTTGTTTTTGACAGGAGACTGGAAAATACAAATAACAAGTAAAATAGAACCTCTATGGAAAATGCTCCAGTCCTTACTGAGCCAATCTATACATTTTGGTAGCTTCGTATTCGAAGGAGCATTTTGAACACCTAAATATTAAATTATATTTCTGTGCAAGTTACAAAGTTTTGTCAAATTTTCCTTCTCAGTTTGATATGATGCTGTTTTGTAATAACATGATACTCCAATTTTGGATCACATTCCCATTACATGTTATATCCAATAGGTGATTTTATGTACCAGAGTGAAATATCTATCAAAATTAAAGTTTAATTAGAACATTCATATAAAGTGTTTATTCCAAGCAAATAGAAAGTGACCTATATACTGAAACATGATAGACATGAAAACTTATCCTATATTAAAAATCTTCTTGCATATAGGTTACAAAAAGTATATAACATTCTTCATATTTTCCTTCCTTTTTGTAAATATTATAAATATTAAAGTCTCAATATTCTGTAGTGGGAAGAAAGTGATATATATCAATTCATAAGCAATCAGTACTTTTAGCTTAAAAATCAGATTAACTCTTTCATAAAGTACATCATTTGCATTGCTTTAATACTATGGATGCCTCCATTTTGTAATATTTTTTTCTTAAAGAATATATTGTGAATGTATGTGTATATTCAAATGATCTTGTTAGACCTAATGAAGATGGTCAGAGTTGCTCATTCTTGAGTTTTCATTACCTATGTGCTAAATACTGTTAAAATGACAAGAACTCTGGGAGTATTGCTTGATTATAGGTTGATGTCTTGTATTAAGGATGGAGAAAAAGGGTAACCATGGGGAGATTAATGAAACCAGCATAGGCAATTCTATGCAATCATTAAACAGTATAGAGTTTCAGTAAGGTATAGTATTTATCAAATTTTCTTTCCTCTTCTGCAAACACAGTTACGTAGCAATGCAATTTATGGATCCAGAAATAAATGACTCAATTTGTCAACTCATTAAATGTCACTATACAAACTGTCAATAGTTCTAACCATCCTGTAAACTTAAGCAAAAGTCATTCAATAACATTGCAGATTGATCCTAATCATTTGTAAAAAGGATGCTGCTCATAATAAATACCTATAATGGAAGCTTTATTTTCAGAGTAGACTTTACTTTTCAATATGTTTATGTCCTTATCCCCATGCTTTAAACAAAACCTGTTTTTAAGTTGTCAAAAACCTATCATGATGAACAACACTGTGTGCATTACAACATTTAGTTTCTGGACCCTAAATAATATATTACTACATGGCAGAATGTTTGTGCTATAGAAATCCATTAGATGTACTACATTTTCTCAGTATAAGGCTTTACAAATACGTTTGAACATGGATTTAACCATATAATAAATTCTCCTTTGCTTTAAACACAAGAATATTTTTAAAGGAGGCAATTTAAAGTAAATATACTATCTTTGTGAATGTAATTATCTGTGCAAGTTGATACTAGCCTTGAAGTTTTGCTTTTTCTGTCTTAGAGTACTGCATACTTGTAAATATTTTTCTAGATATTATTAAATTCATAGGACCATAAAATTGAATGAACCAAGGATAAGTTATCATCATGAGAAAAAAATGCTTCGGCTAGACAGTCTTATATCTATTTTCCAAGTGTTTTTGGCATTCCATTTTCATCCTAAATATACTTTTTGTTTTGTTTTGTTTTTGGTACCGGGGATAGAACTTGGGTCCTTGTGCTTGCACAGCAGGAGGCGAAACCACTGAACTAAATCCCCAGCCTGTTCCTAAATATACTTTTGATATCCAAATGGCTTGGAAAACAATTTTCTTTGCATCATGGGAACATTAGAGAGAAGGATAAAATTCATAATTATTCATTAGCTGGAGCAAAAGAAAGAAAGAATAGAGGGAGGGAGCAAGGGAGGGAGGAGGGACCTAGGGAGGAAGGAAGAAAGTGAGAGGAGGAAGAAAGGAAGGAAGAAAGTGAAACTACCTGAAAACTAAATGCATCAGAGCCAGAAAGGAAACAAATTTCCACCTATCTTTTTCAAGCAATGGTGGTGAGTCTCTCTCTCTCGGTAGCCAAAACTCTACTTTGTAGCATAGACAATAGAATTAGTTAAGGTAAAGTGTCTTTCTGTAGTAATGAAATATATAACAGACCACAAATATAAATGCATAGATGAGCTAAAATATATTTGTATACTATATGTGCACACACACACATATAATTTGTTTTATGCTAGATTTAAGTTCATCCCTTAAAATAAGACCAAAATGGAACTATTTTAACAATCTTATAAAGAATAAAATTGCTCATCTAAAAACAATTATAATCCATTATAGTATACACATTTACATGTTTTTAATTAAAAGCAGCAGATAATGCCTATCTTATGGGTGAAATAAAGAGAGTTTATTGAACCTGAACAAAGTTGGTTCATAAAATTAAGTAATTTAAAAAGTCCTCGATGTTGTTCCCTACCACTACCATCCAGCAACTACATAACAATAGCAGATTGCTTATAACATTTCTTAATTACTTTCACTCCTACTTAAAACTTTCACATGACTCCTTATTAAAACTAGAATAAAATTCAGTTTCCTTACATACGTAATGCCATCTTGCTTAATTTAATCTGCATCTCCCCAATTGTATCTTTTCTTCACAATCATTATCTTCCAGTGACACAGATGTTCTTTTACTCTCTGGAAAATACTTCTCAGTTCTGTAGTGTAATGTGAGATGCTAGTATGATAATTCTTGTGTATATTGTTCCATCCTCCTGGGATATTCTCCTCATAGATCTTCCCAAAGTTGCCTCTTTCTCATTGTCTGGATATCAGTCACAATATAATCATTTTCCAGAGAGATTTCTTCCACTCACCTACTCATATTCATATGTGAGTAAATCATATTCTATCTTTTGTCACTTGCAACCTCATTACTTATTGGACAACAAATTATTTTTCACACTGTGTTATTTTTCAGTTTATTGTTGCCTCTCTGTAATAGTCTATAAGCCACATGGGTGTAGACTGTTTTCTTTGGATTTTCCATGGTTGTAATTACCAGGACTTATACTTATGTACCTTCTTAGTATTTAATAAGCACCTGTGTTCATTCAGCACATATATTGGTTGTTGTTTTAAGTGCTGGAGATATAGTAACTTTAAAAGCGGAAAAAAGATTCTGCCTTCATTTTTTGATGAGAGGCATTAAATTTGTTGAATCAGTGACTTGGCAAAGCATCAGTGAGGGCAGAGTCCAAAAATTTTCAGTCTCTGTCATATCCCCTAATTTGTAACTCTTGTAAGAGACAATCTAATTGACTGAGCTTCGGGTAGATGTCTCTATATTAGGGTCATATTGCTACAACCCAGCCACAGACTTGGAAAGTGTTTTGATTTGTATCTACTCTGTTTTTCTTCTTGACTGCCTGGAACATATGGACATATACCATTCTGCCACTTAACCAAAGAAATTGCTGCCTAACATAAGCTAATAACATTTTAAATGCAACAGCAAAACACAGTGGCCAGGTCTCCAATCAGAGGGATATGAAATCACTTCAAGTGGTTCCACCTAAATGTCAGGAATAGGATTATTGTACTTTTAACCTAGTAGTCAAAAATTTTGTCCATTTTATGTGTGGTTTTAATCTTGGTCTACCTATTTGTTAACATGTAATTTCTTCAAACTATAATCAGAGTGATGAACTTAACACAATCATTTCATTGCATATATATGTGTATATATGTACATATGTATATATGTATGTATATATATATATATGTACATGTATATGTAGTCTGAAAGTCATGGTTAACAGTGACTAGGTGAACAGTGAATAGGCTGTATGATCAAATGTCTTAAACTCCAAATATGTGTTCACTATAGGATGATCAGCTAATGATCCAAAAGTGCCAATGAGAAATAAAGGTGAAATCAATATTTTCTATTAGGTAGCTCTGTAACATGAAGGGTTATTTTTTCAGCTGACAATGTGGCTGCACCTCTAGTTTTAACTGTCATTTAAAATAATAAGCTATTTCCATCTTATTGGAATAATATGGAAAACATATAACTGACAACTATAAATTCCATAGAGTTTAAATGCATATAATTTTTTTACTGTACATATTTCAGTGGATTCTCTTTTGTGGTCAAGAAGTACAACTTAATGATAATTCTAAATTTTTATCTCACACACCTTGATAATAACTATTAACCTGAGGATTATGTGTAGGATTTTAATGCATGCTCTTTTAACTTTATACTAAGTGTAAATATCTATTAACAATATGAAGTCCTATTTTACATTATTTTAATTTGCAGAAATTATATCATATGTTCTCTCTGATTTTACTATCTCTTTGTAGCCCCTTCAAACTAGGTTGAGCTGTATCTAAGTTGGCACTGATAGGTTCACTCTACTCGAAGCATTTACTTATGGTTTTCTACACCATTATTATTAGGAACACTGCTGCAAGTTACTTGAATATATTTTTTTATGTTCACTTGCAAGAACTTCTCTAGAGTAGATATCTGGAAGTAAAATGTCTTGAGTTGAAAAGAATGAGTATTCTTTAGATTAATATTCATGATTTATACAGATATTGTTCAAATGTATGATATTACTATTAATTTATAAGAGCACAAATCAGTCAACTTTTTCCTAAAACTTGATTATCAGACTTAGAAATCATTGCACATAGATTAGAAAACTGCAGATTTAATTTTCATTCATCCAATGAGTATCAATAAATACCTCAGTTTGATTATACTAGTTTTCTAGGATTATCATAACAAAGCAACAACTACCACTACCACAACAAGCATAGACTAAGTGGATTAAATAGCAAAAATTTGTGTTATTTTTTCCCCAATTGAGAGAGTAGTATTAAAAGATCAAAGGGCTGGCAGGATTGTTTTGTTTTGTTTTTTCTGTCTGTGTCTTTTAGAAGGGTAGCTTCTTATTACGTCCTTTTTCTCACATGATTGTCTTG